TACTAGATATTGCAAATAAGGGAAACCATGGGAACTATGTTTCTTTGGGCCTGGCTTACTTCACTTAATATAATTTTTTCCAAGTTTTTCCATTTTGTTTTAAGATTCTTAATGCCTAAAGAATGAGTTGTTACAGAAAGAAAAGGCGTATATAATTCTATGAAAAGAAAACAGCATGACTAATAAAAACACAAACTCTTGGGGCTGATACAGAAGTATATATGTTATAAACACTCTCATAAAGAAAAAAAGTATATATAAATGCACAGCGGGTTGAGTTTGGTGACAGAAATAATTCATAAAGCAACTTGATTTCTCTCTTTTTGTGCTGGGACTGGGGGTTAAACCCCAGTGGGCACTGTCCCTGAGCTTCTTTTGCCCAGGGCTAGCACTCTACCACTTTGGTTAACTGGAGATAAGAGGACCACAGCCTTTCCTGCGCCAGCTGGTTTGGAACTGAGATCTTCAGGTCAAGTATCTACTATTACATACATGAGCAACTGGTGCCCAGTTATGGCCTAATAACTTTTTTAAAAAAGTCTTTTAAGGGGGATGGGAATATGGACTAGTGGTAGAGTACTTGCCTATATCATGCATGAAGCCCTGGGTTCGATTCCTCAATATCACATATATAGTATATGAGACTAACTAAACAGTATGAGACTAACTACCAGAAAACCAGAAGTGGCACTGTGACACAAATGATATAGCACTAGCCTTGAGCAAAAGAAGCTCAGGGACAGTGTTCAGGCCCTGAGTTCAAGCCCCAGGATTGGCAAAAAAATCTTTTAAAAACTTTATTAAAGATTAATTGAAATACACTAAACCATGAATACTTGAATATCACATTTGGTCAGTTTTGATATAGTACACACATGTGAAACCATCATTGTAATCAAGACAGTAGTTTCCAATACTACCAAAGTTTCCTGTTTTACTTTGTAATTTAACCTTTTTTTTCCAACCTGTCCTCAAGCAAGGGACATTATAGATTCAGTTGGCTTTCCTAGAATTTTAAGAAAATGGAATCATATAGTGTGCTCTCTCTCTCTCTCTCTCTCTCTCTCTCTCTCTGTGTGTGTGTGTGTGTGTGTGTGTGATGACTTTAAAGTTTATTCACATTCTGGGACATATCAAGTTTGTTCTTCGTTATTGCTGAGTAGCATTATATAGACAAATCACAATTTGTTACTTTACATGCTATTTTTTAAAACAGTAGAGTCTTAAGCTCCAATATGATCATGTAGTCTACGAACATTGAGAAGTAATTAGTGAGCATTCTAAATAGGCTATTTATGAAGTTCAGAAGCACTAGTCTAAAATGTAAGCACTATGAGAATATTGACATTCTGAGATATCACTGAAGGTAATTTTTTTGTTTCAGTCCATATTTAGAGCTACTCAGAAAAACCTTCCTTCCTTCCTTCCTTCCTACTGCCCTCCCTCCCCCTCTCTGCTTTCTTTCTTCCTTCTTTCCTTCCTTCCCTTTCTTCCTTCCTTTCCCTTCCTTCCTTCTTTCTTTCTTTCTCTTTCTTCTTTCTTTCTTTCTTTTTGTTGGTCATGGGGCTTGAACTCTGGGCCTTGGCACTCTCAATGAGCTTTTGTGCTCAAGGCTAGTGCTATATCACTTTGTGCCACATTACCACTTCTGGTTTTCTGGTAGTTAGTCTCATGGACTTTGAGCTGGCTTTGAACTGTGATCCTCAGATCTCAGGCTCCTGGGGAGGTAGGATTACAGGTATGAGCCACCAGCACCTGCTTCAATCTTTATTTAAAAAATAGATTTAATCTTTCACTCAGGAAGTGGGGAATGCCAGTTCTTGTGGCTGTTTCCATTGTCTGCCTATCAAGTTATACATCATCAAAAGTACAAACAGCCGGGTGCTGGTGGCTCATACCTGTAATCCTGGCTACTCAGGAGGCTGAGATCTGAGGATTGGTTCAAAGCCAACCAGGGAAGGAAAGTCTGTGAGATTCTTATCTCCAATTAACCACCAGAAAAACCAGAAGTGGCTCAAGTGTTGTGGCACAAGTGGTAGAGCGCTTACCCTGAGCTGAAGAGCTGAGAGACAGAGCCCAGGCCCAGAGTTCAAGCCCCATGAACAACAACAACAACAAAAAGTACAAACAAAATAATATCATATGTATATGTTTAATAATGCTGGTGTTGCAAAATCAAATCAAAGATTTTACATTCAGTTCAATAAAATAAAGGGTTCTTTTCTAATTTCCCTTCCCATAATCCCCCCAAAAAGTACAAAACAGTACAGTAACAGTTATTAATTAATAAATAAAGTGTTGAGGTGACATTAATTAGGAGGGAAAAAGAGTTTTTTCCTTAGTGTGAAAATAGGCTGAGGCATCTGTTTCCCCATGTTCTTCCAATCAATTTTCTCGCTTACTTCATAATTCACTTTGGTCAGGATAGTAAGGATATCATCACCTCTGAAAAACATAGAGGAAAATCATGATTGTCCCTGGATTGACCCAGTCATCTGCAGTGCCCAGCAGGAGTTCTACTATTCTTTCTCCAAAACATCAGAATCTGAACCCATAAGTTGCTAAACCAAGATCTACTCCAGCTTTTCAGCTTTCAGTGCTTACCAGAAACTTTAGTATCACTATCAGATTTTATTTCCTTCCCTCCTAACCTGTGTGTAGCTTACTCTGCTCTACATATTAGGTCAATTGCCCCCCAACACACACAAATACCTACATGCTACCCCAATATCCTCCCTCTAAAGACCAGCCTTGCTTCTTGAATTCATCTACAATCAAACTTAAAGCAAACAGAAGAGAACTATCCTGTGCAGTCATTTCTACCCATCACTCTGCTAGCTTAGCAATTGTGTTGGGCAACCTCCTCATCTGCCTGTGTAGTGACTCTAGAACCTGCACAATTCCTGGTCTGAGTTACAGAGGAGACATTACACTTTGATGTGATAGCTGAGCTTCATATGCCATGGAAAACTCTCTTCAATATAATGACAAACAGGAATACATGGGGCTGCTAGGCAAGTCCTATTGTTCATCTGTCAGCTGTGTGAGCCTACAGAGCAACTGTGACTTATACAACCCTAATTTAATTAAAAGAAGCACATCATAAATAAAAAGGCTGTTTTCCAAAACGTTGTGGCATCCAAGAGGGCCAAATTAGTGGACATAGGGAGTTGCTGATCTTTGCTATCACTTCCCACAATGCACCAAGAGGATTTGAGGTTGACTAGAGACTAGATAAAGGTTTTCTGACAGCGTTTGGGAGTGTTAAATATTGAAGTGAGTTGCTGCTTTCTTGGAAAAAAATAGAAAACTAGTTAAGATGGTTCAGTCATGTTTCTGCCTAAATACAGAAAGCTAATCTATGTATATCAGTATCCTTTTCAGCTCTGACACTGTAGTAGTCTATTGAGATTATATTGGAAACCCCTAAATCATCCATTTTTCCATATGCAAACTCAAAAGATTAACAGTCATCTTTTGTACTTTGCTACTGACCTGAGTAGTATAGCTACTTCATCCACAGCTAGATGAGTGGAAATGACTTCCCTGGGGTACTTCTTGATGGGATAATATTACTCTGACAGATAAGTACTTTCTAATGAGTTCTGAATATGAAAATGTAGTGCTGGAAATGAGAAAGGGAAACAGTGCAATGTTGAGGTGGGTTGGGTAGAAAAACTTACTGAGGACATCTTTCCCTCAGGTTCTGGCAAAGAGATTGGATATACCACGTCCCCTTCACAGGATCTCGGTAGGATACACAGTTTTTTACAGTAGCCATCCCCAGCAGAAAGTCAGCCTCATCAGGGATATATTTCTTTTGAGATTCTGAGTCTGTCTCTGAGTCAGTCTCAACAGGTACAGCTTTGTGATAGCTCTGCCCTTGGCAAGCTTGAATAAAAAAGATTTTTGGTTTTCCAACCAGTGAAGGGCAATTGGAACCAGTGAAATAAGAGGTCAGATCATAGATGGAGGCCTTCTTTCCATCAGTGCCATAGATAATGCCCCTGTCTCCATGGGACAGGATACAGCAGATGAAGCAGTCCTTCTCACTGTGGTCTGTATTTTGGTAGGATTGCAGAACCTCACTGATGTCCCCTGCTGTGTAATTTTGGAAAAGTACAGTCTCAAAATGAAGCTCCTTAAAGGTCTGGCACAAGGTGTCTGAAAAATGAAATAAGAAAAATTATATTACAATAATTACTAGAACACAGTTCAGAGTTGCAGAAAAATGGGGCCAGGTAAGAATCTGAACTAGGATTTTAAGAACAAAACCTCCTCTATTAGTAGTGGTTCTGTGGGTTCTAATATTTATTGCTGCTAGCTGAAGACATTCTCAACCCTGAGGCAAATGGGGGCAGAGAGTTATTCCCTTAAACTAGTTCGCAAATAGCTAAGCTGTCATTTAGGCTTACTACTAAACCATTTTGAAAGATGACTACATTTCATACGAAATCAGAAAAAATAAAGTTGGAATAAAACATCATCTGCAGAGACCTTCCAAAATGTTTGTATTCATCAAAATAAATAGAGGAACAAAAATAAGGCTCAGAGTCTTATCACATAGTTATCTTCTTTCTGTTCTTCTCTGTTACACAATTATTCCCAAGGCAATCGCTTTCTAATATTAGCGCTCATTTTGTAATAGGTGTGGGTACAGTGATATCTATTCATTTATAAAATTTACATTTTTGAGGTAAGTTATTATGGCGGATGAATATATAGTGTTCTTATACAATCATTTACAATTTGGGGTTAAATCCATAATACATTACTAAAACTATGTAAACTAATGTTAATTCTATTCCTTATTAAGCTTTTGGTTTTTTCTGGAATTAATGATTGTATTTCTCTTGCAAAAATGTTTCCTTTGTTTCACATATGCCTAAGATTGTTTTCTCTTCAAATACATACTAATAGGTCTAAAGTCTTCCAGCAGTTTCAGGCTGCTTGTCCGACTCATCTTAATTTTTTCTGTGAGACTTCTCATCTTGAACACCGCATCCTTCTGCACCAACTTCAACTGCATGCTCAATGTATCTGATTTCTCTTCTGGGACATTTCTTGGTCTATTCCATAATAGACTCTATTGTTTTAACCTATGACTTCTTTCTTGGTTGACTAGCTTGTTTTATGAACTATATTCACTCATGCATGAGCAGTGAATTGTCTTACACTCTTGTATGTCATTATTTCTACTTTTAGACAGGTTAGCAATATTACATAAAGCTATATCCTTAGAATGTTTAAGGTATTCTTTCAGCTTCCAGTATTGCCACTGAGAATTCCAATATTATTTTGATTCCTGAAACTACATATTTGACTTCTTTTTTTTCTCTCACTAGAAGTTTCTAAGATGTTTTGGTATATATGTTTCTCAATTAACTAGATCCTTTCAATCTAGAGACTGTTCATTGAATCTTAGAAAGTTCTATTTCCCCATTTCTTCTGTCCTCTTTTCTGGAATTCACTGTTAGAGGTTAAACATCCTTTACTGATCTTCAATTTTCCTACCTTTTTTTCTCACTTTCCATTTTACTTTTGGTCCTTTCTAGTGTTTTCTTGATCACACTATTTTTTTGTTGGTGGTCATGGGGACTGAACTCTGGGCCTGAGTGTTGTCCCTCAGCTCTTCAGCTCAGGACAGTGCTCTCCCACTTAAGCCACAGCGCCACTTCTAATTTTCTGGTGATTTATTGAAGATAGGTCCCACTGACTTTCCTGCCTGGGCTGGCTTTGAACCATAATCCTTAGATCTAAGTTTCCTCAGTAGTTAGAATTGCAAATGTGAGCCACTGGCACCCATATTATCACACTTTTTTGTTGTTGATGTTAGTTGTGGGGCTTGAACTCTCAGCCTGGGCACTGTCCCTTAGCTCTTCAGCTCAAGGTGATACTCTACTGCTTGAGCCACAGTGCCACTTCCAGTTTTCTAGTGGTTTATTTGAGATAAGAGTCTCACAGACTTTTGTGCCTGGGCTGGTTTTGAACCAGGATCCTCAGATCTCAGCCTCCTGAGTAGCTAGGATTACAAGTGTGAGCCACCAGTGCCCAGCCTGATCACACTATTTTTATACTCATAATTTTTGCTTTGCAGTGATTCTTCCTCACTCTTCTTTGTATCATCTGTTCTTTTAAACACCTTTTATTAATTGCTCTAAGAATGTTCGATATAACTTTTTAAAGGTTTCTTTTTCTCAACATTTTATTCATACTCTGGAGGGGGGTTGTATTACATCTCTATTTTATATATTTTCAATATCAAGTACATGATGACAACTGACATATATTGTATGTCCTTAAGTTCTGCTACTTTTAAAATCCCTACAATATATTATGCTTGAATAAACAAATCAATAGTACCAGGGATGATTACAATATCCTAATGACTATGATCAGTTTATATTAACTTCTTGAACTTTACTCAGTCAAAAAAATCACAAATACCATTTTCAAAAGTTCTTTGATAGTAGACAGTTCACAAAATGCTTTAAAAAACACTGCTGATAGCCAGGCACTGGTGGCTCATGCCTGTAATCCTAGCTACTCAGGAAGCTAAGATCTGAGGATCATAGTTCAAAGTCAGCCTAGACAAGATATTCGTGAGACTCTTATCTCCAATAAACTACCAGAAAACTAGAAGTGGTGCTATGGCTCAAGTGGTAGAGAGTTCACCTTGAGCTGAAGAGCTCCATGACAGGGGCCAGGCTGAGAGTTCAAGGCCCATGACCAACAACAAATAAATAAATAAAACACTGCTGATAGCCATGTGATTAATGAGAAGATGGATAGCCTCTACAAGGTGATTCATGATCATGATGAGACTAACCAAAGAATAGAGGAATTTATGGAGTCTACAAACAGAAGAGAAGGCAAGGGAGTCCAATGAAAAATAGTCATCCAGATAAAGATCTGTGAGAAGACACAGATAAATAAATCAAGGATGTAAAGAAGTCCATATAAGACCTAAAAGGAAATTTCAATGAAGAGAAGCCATTAAAAATGATCAATTAGATAGAAGCCATAGAAATAAAAAAATGGAAAATCTTGACAGCAGAATAGATGGTGTAGAAGACAATCTCAGGGATCAAAGATAGCATAGATATAATAGAGAAAGAGGAGATAATTATCCAGAACAATTCCAAGAAACCAGAAATGAGCTTGCAAGAACTTTAGACCTCAGAAGACCTAATCTGACAGACACATATTAAGGGAGGATTAGAGAAGGCAACTGAAAGGATAGGACATATGTTTAACAAAATTCTAGCAGAGAACTTCCTGAAGATATAAAAAGATAGGTCCATTCAGATATAAGAAACCTTTAGAACACCGAACAGATCAGATTGTAATTCACACAGGATCAATACAGACCAAGGAAAGGATCCTTAAAATTGTCAGAGAGAAAATATTGATCTTATAAAGGAAAACCAGTCATAATAACTACAGATTTCTCGACTGAGACCATGAATGCAAGAAAAGCCTGGAATGATGTATGGCGAAAACCTACAACTACTAACTGAGAATACTATATCCAGCAAAGCTCTCCTTCATAACCAAGGGACAAAAACATTCCATAGCAACAAAAAATTGAAATACTCTTTATAAAACCAACACTACAGAAAATACTTAAAGGCATCCTACATATAGAAAATCAACAAGAACATCATATTGGCAGAGAAAAATGCTCTTTAGCAGAGAGCCAGACGAACATAGTAAGAATAGACAAGGCAGGGCTGGGAAGGTGGCTCAGTGGTAGAGCGCTTGCCTTGCATGCATGAGGCCCTGGGTTCGATTCCTAGCACCACATAAGCCAAAAAGAAAAAAAAGCTGGAAGTGGGGCTGTGGCTCAAGTGGTAGAGCGCTAGCCTTGAGCTGAAGAGCTGAGGGACAGCGCCCAGGCCCAGCGTTCAGGCCCCATGACCGGACCCAAAAACAAAAAAACAAAAAAATAGACAAGGCATAGCCTCTAAAAAGGTGGATAAATGGCAGGAGTTACCAAACACTTCTCAGTCCTAACTCTCAAAAATATCAACAAACAACTCTCCAATAAAAGACTTGTTGGATCAAAAAGCAAGACCCATTCATCTGCTGTCTACAAAAGACACAAACTTGCAAAAACACATTCACCAAGCAAATGGCCCCCATAAGTAGGCCAGAATAGTAATACTAATATCAGATAAAATAGACTTGAAATTAAAATTAGTAAGAGGAGAAGGAAATTACATACTAATAGAGGGAACTCTCCTACAGGATGATGTAACAATTCTAAATACCTATGCACCAAATGTTGGAGTGCCCAGCTTCATCAAATACTAATTGACCTAAAAATACACATAGATCCAAACACACTGATTGTTGGTGATTCCAACACATCATTGTCAGCTCTCAATAGATCATACGGACAGGGGCTGGGAAGGTGGCTCAGTGGTAGTGCGCTTGCCTTGCATGCATGAGGCCCTGGGTTCGATTCCCCAGCATCACATAAGCAAAAAAAAGCCGGAAGTGGTGCTGTGGCTCAAGTGGTAGCGCTAGCCTTGAGCTGAAGAGCTGAGGGACAGTGCCCAGGCCCAGAGTTCAGGCCCCACAACTGGACCCCCCCAAAAAAATAGATCATACAGACAAAAATCTCAGCAAAGAAACCTCAGACCTAAATAATCACCTTGACCAACTAAGCTTAAGGACATCTATAGAACATTTCACCCAGCAGAATATATTTTCTTCCCAACAGCCCATGGAACATTTTCCAAAATAGATCATATGTCAGGTCACAAAGCAAATCTCTGCAAATTCAAAAAAACTGAAATTATTCCCTGCATCCTGTCAGACCACAATGGAATAAAATTAGAGCTGGACACAGAAAATTCTCTCTAACTGATGGAGACCGAACAACACATTGCTGAATGATCACTGGGTCATTGAAGAGATTAGAAGAAAAATTCAAACATTTATGGAATTCAACTAAAAACACACAAAATACCAGCTCCTCTGGAACACAGCAAAGGCAATACTCAGAGGAAAATTTATATCTTTGAGTGCCTATATCAAAACATTGTAGAAATAGCAAGTCAACACTAATGATGCACCTCAAGTTCCCGAAGAAGTAGGAACACCACAAACAAGTAGACAGAGCAAATAATAAAATTAAATCAGAAATAAGAGACTTT